CACGTTGCAATTTCATATTACAGTCACATTTTTGCCCGTGGCGACAAGGGCGAACGTGGCGAAGTCTCAAACTCGTTTCACGCACATGCCGCCCGCCTACCTGGTGTTCTTGAAATGGGCACCGACTGTATACGTGTGGCATTGCTGTGACAGTTGCAGCCGAAATGTCTTGCTTCAGTTCAAGGAGATTCGTCGGTCTCCGGTTTGGATCTCCAAAGAGGGACAGTGGCATATTTTGTCCCTTTGCTGTTCCCCGTCAAGCGAATTGACCACCAGGCACGTCTCGTTTGCCTGATTCTTCCAGGTGGGATCAACACAACAACAACACTCGTAATCTGCACGGCACGTACAGTGATCAGCGGAACTGGACAGATTTGTGGAGCACGCTTAGCCCATTCTTTTCCGTTTGTTGTGCTGTGCTGTTTACATACTCCCTGACCAAGTTTCGCAAACTTAAGGTTTGTGCGTGGTGCTTTCAAGCCTACGGTACAGTACCGTAGCCGTTTGCCCGACCCTTGCTCCGTACCGTATGTACTGTACTCACGCCAGCCCAACTGAGAAGAGGGAAAACAATTTGCTGTCAGGTGTTGCGGCGTCGCGTCTCCCCGCATCGCCGCACCGTGCCAGTGCTCCTCCCTTCCCCCATCCCTCTCCATCCTTTCGCGAATCACATCTCTTCGCAACCCGTTACCCGAATCCGTCAGTCTCTTTCGTTGTCTCAGCAGAGACAAAACAGACCAGCCGACGTCGGCATGCTCGCGAACGTTGAACAATGCGCAGGATTCCAGATTAGCGAACCCCGAGGGAGTGAGGACAAGTCTTTCACTCCTCTCCCTCACTGCCTTTCCACGGTCGACGACAACAACACCCTCCCGTCCCATCATCCCACAGCGTTGATGCGAACCTTGTGTTTTAGAATCTGAAATCTGAGCCGCAGGCGACTGCCTAGCGTGAACTCCAGTTTTGCAGATTTATGGGAAAACGCCTCTTATTCTACTCCATGTACAGACCGTAGATTCACTACGTTTTACGAGCACATGTCCCGTCACAACTTAGCCCTCCACTGATCACCGTCGAGCTTTTTAACACTCCATCCATCCCTCGCCCTAGCCACAAAGCGTTTCTCCTGGCGCCACCCGCCAATGACCCAGTAGTCGCGTCTTCTCCCACATGGCTCAACATTCCACGCTCATCTCACCGCTCTTGGCTTCTGGACCGGACAATATTCATTACCTCTGCGGCATGCGCGCTTCCAGCCCTGCTCGCGATGCGTTCGGCCCGACAGAAGACATTAGCTGCTCTAGCTTGCCCATAATGGACGACGACGGGATTTCCGCCGATGTTTTTGCATCCAGCGGCAGCGGTGAAGGCGCTGTCCCTCCCGTTGGTTACGATTCACCCGGCCTAGCTTCTGTTTCTTTTCCCAGAGAAAGGACTGGTGTTCGACTGCCACGTGAGACACACAGCACTGGCAGCCTCGCCGCGGCGAATCGGGCGAACAAAGTAGCGCCTGGTTACTCAGCTTCGCGCGCAGTATCCCTCCAGGCACCAGTCGAAACTTCCGTAGGCAACCCTTCGCGGGGCCTCTCGCCGTCGATGCGGCGCGCAGAAGCAACGGCGATCGCTCTCCGTAGCGGCGATGCCCAGCTGGCGGACCTCGACGGCCAGATGCTTCCGCCGCCGCCGCTTCCGCAGCAGCAGGTCGTAGCTGGGCAGCAGCAGCAGCCGCAGCAGCCGCAGCAAATGCAATCGCAAACGCAGCAAAAGACGCGAAATAAAGCGGCTCCCAGAAGCCGCGTTGCGTATTCTGAACCCCTCTTGGCGCCGCAAACGCGTGCCGCTTCAGAAATAAAAGCGCTTCAGGGCTCATCCCCTTCGACGCATACCGCTCTGCACACGGCAGGCGGCAGAAAAGGCAATAGCAACGGCCACCGTAAGCCCGTTTCCGCTTCGTCTTCCGCCTCTGCTGCAACCCAAAACTCCCAGCCTTCCATTTCCCCTTCAGCGCCCGCGCCCAAGCCGTCCCCGCTGGCGCTGCAGTTCGTGCGCCAGTCGCGCGCCATGATGCTTCTCCTGGACCGCCAGTCCGCGGAAGTGCTCGCCGCTAGTCGCGCGGCGCTGACGGCGCTCGGGCAGGCGGAGGACGGGGAAAGCGCACAGGGGCAGGCGCAAGGCGCGGGCGCGGGCGCGGGTGGGCGAAAGAATTTGTTCGACTTGACGGACGACGTGAGCGCGGAGCAGTGGCAGCGCGCCGTGAGCGACGCGGTGGCGTCCGCCGCGGTGCTGCGCTTCAACGTGCGCGACTCGGGGGCGGGCGGGCACCTGGCGGGCCGGCAGGTGGACCTCATGCTGCAGCCGTGCCAGTTCGCGCTCGACGCGCACTCGCTCGTCGGTACCTTCGCCATCGTCAACCGCCCCTCCCCGCTCCACACCACCAACGTTGGTGTTACAACCACCATAGATGAAGGTCGCAGCGGCGGCGGCGCCGGCGGCGGCGGAAGCGCTCTCAATGCGGACGAGCGTCCTGTGTCGGCGCGCAGCAACACGAGCGAGTCCCCGGGAGGCAGAGGCTCCCGTCGCTTCATGCACAAGCTCGCGTCGCTCTTCCGCTTTCACGACGAACCTTCCCCGCGCGAGCCGCTCTTCTCTGTCGAGCCCCTTACCCCCAGCCCCCACGATTCCGCCACCTCCGCTTCCGCCTCCACCACCCCGAGCGCAACCGTTCCCACTCCGCGGGGTCTTTTCTCCCCCGCTGCGGCGCCCCGCGCATCTCCCTCGCCCTCGTCAGCTGCAGGCGCGGGATTTTCCGCAGCAGGTTCCGCCGTCGCGCCAATGTCCATCTTGCGCAAGGTTTCCACCTTTCACGCCCTCAGCCGCGCGCCGACCTCCCCCTCTGCCGCCTCCGTTCTCCCCTCGCTGGAAGCCGCGGCAGCAGCTGGGGCCAGCGGCGGCGGCGGCGGCGGTGGTGGCGTTGGAGGCGGTACGGAAGGAGGCGGCAGGAGAGCGCTTCCAGACGGTCTTCCCCCTGGGGGCAGCGGGCGGGTGGCCGGTGCGCGCCGCCTGCTGCGCGGACGCGGAAAGAGCGGTTCCGCGCAGGAGCGGCGCACGACGTTGTCGGGTCCGCTGTTCACGGCGGCCGCGGTGTCGCCGTCGCGCCAGGACGCGCGCGCGACGGCGGAGTTTTTGCGCACAAGAGGCGGAGATGTGGCGCCGCTGCAGCAGGGGTGGGACAGATTGGACTCGCCGGGCGGGCTCGGGTTGTCCATGGGAAGGGCGGTGCGCGTTGGCGGAGAGGACACCGCCATTACCGCCGTCGGCAGCGGCGGCAGGGCGACAGGGAGCAACAGCATGATCCGCAGCAGCAGCAACAGCAGCGGCGGCGGCGGCGGCGGCGGCGGCGGCGGCGGCGGCGGTCTTTCCGCGCATCTTGTGAACAGGCGGGCGTTCTCCACCAACGCGGAGGGGCTGAGAGCGGCAGCCACTCGGAAGCTGCAGCGGCAGCAGGTGCGGCGAGACGCTTCGGTCGAGGATGGTGGCCCTGCTGCTGCTGCTGCTGCTGCGGAAGCGGCATGTGCGGATCGCGAGGCAGTTAAGGCTAGCGCCAGTCGTTCCGTTCCTGGCGACGCGCTCACTGCTGCGAGCCTGCCCACTGCTCCGCCTGCTGCTGGAACCCTCACACCTTCCTCACCTGCCGCCGCCTCTTCCGCCTCACCTGGCGGCGGAGCGACTGCGAGCGCGCACCCGCTCCTGGCGGGATCGTCCGGGTCGGCTAGGCGCAACGACCTGCGCTTGATCATCCCCTCGCCCAAAGGCGACCGCCAGGTGAAGGCGCTGGGCTCCGGCGCGAGTAGCGGCGGCGGCGACGGCGGCGGCGGCGGCGGCAGGGTGTGTGGTCCGGGGAGCAGTGATGGGGGGGGGAGCGAAGAGGGGAGTTACAGCAGTGCCTCTGCTGCTGGTGCTGCTGCTGATGGGGCTTGCGGTTCTGCCTTGGTCACTCCTGCGTCTCAACCTGCCAGCACTCCCACTGCCCACTCGCTCACTCCACTCTCTTCCCGCTCTAACGCCTCCCTTGGCTCCTCCTCTGCTACACCACCGACCATTGCTGCTGCTGCTGCTAGTGTATCAAAGTCACCAGCGGCAGCAGCGCCAGCAGGCCGCAAAACACCTTCGCCCTCTCCGCGCAGCGGCTTCGCCTCCTCCGCCTCCGCCTCCTCCTCCGCCGCTCACTCCCCCCTGTCCGCCGCCTCCTCCGCCGCAGCGTCCGCATCCAGTCTTCCCAGGTCAAGCAAGTCAACGGGGCTGAGGGAGCGGCGCGGGCTGGGCAGCAGACTGGGCACTCTCGCCGTGAGGCATGGCGACAAGCACGCCCGGCAGCAGCAGCAGCAGCAGCAGGAGCAGGAGGAGCAGGAGCGGGAGGAAGGGGGGAGAGGCAGCTGCAGAAGCACCCCGGGAGCGCGTCTTTCCAGGAGGTCTCCTTCGGAAGCCTCGGCGTCGTCCACGCCCATTCCGACCATCACCGCCACCGCCGTTACCCCCGGGCGCTTGGGGTTCCATAGCGTGGGGTCCAAGGGGCGGGTACTGGCCGGCGCGTGGGCAGGTGCTGCGGGGAGAGCAGAGAGGCGAGGCGGCGGCAGCGGCAGCGGCGGCGGCAGCGGAGGTGCTGCTGTGGTGTCGTCTGCTGGGCTGCTCATGGCCCAGCGAGTGGATGGCACGGTGCTGGGTCCTGCAGGGGGATCAGCAGCGGCAGCAGGAGTGGCAGCAGGAGCAGCAGCAGGAGCGGCAGCAGCGAGGGGTGTTCGAGCCCCCGTGCAGTCGCCGCTGGGGCGACCTCGGTCCGTAACGCAGCCTCTGCGCGCCCGCTCCCGCCCTTCCGCCCTGCACAGCCACTCCCTCACTGCCGACCTTGTTGCTGCTGCTGCTGCTGCTGCTGATGATGCTACTGATGGTGGTGATGGTAGTGCTGGTGGTGCTGGTGGTGCCGCTGATGCTGCTGGTGGCAGGTTGGGTGGGAGCAGGCGATCCAGGAGTTATGGAGGGGGGCTGTTCACGCCGAGACTCGTGCGCAAGAGCAAGAGCAGGAGCATGTTCTTTACCGTGGGAGGGGGGAGCACAGGGGGGGGAGGTGGGGGGGAGGACTGGTGGGGAGATGAGGGCACGATGACTCTCGGCTCTCCTGCCATTCACGTTGCTGCCGCTGCCGCTGCTGTTGCTGGTGGTGGTGCCACTAACGCCGAAGCTGGCAGTTGGCGGGAAGAGCAGGACGTACAGCCGTTGGATCCCCTGGGTCTAGGATCTGCCGCCGTTTCTGCCACGGCTGCCGCTGGCGCTGCTGCTGCTGCCGCAGTGGCGGGGACGACGGGGTGCTACCCGCGCCACGGGGCTTCTTCCGCCTCCTCCCCTCGGGATTCTGCAGCGAGCGCTGCAGGCTCCAGCGCTTCTAGGCCTGGTAGGGGGCTTGGCAACAGCCTGAGCGTGGGGAGCGGCATTGGGAGCGGCGGTGGCAAGTGGGGGAGGCGGATGGTGGGCAGCAGGAGCATTGGCAGCGTGGGGAGCGGCATGGGAGGGACCAGATTCACTAGCAGCTGGAGTGTCGGCGGCTTGCTCACCACTGCCGCTGCTGCTGCTGCTGCCAGTGCTGGTGCTGCTGGTGGCGCTGGCGGCGCTGCTGGTATGGAGGCAGCGGGTTACGGCGCAGCAGAGGAGGGGGCAAGCGCAGCGGGAGGGTCTGGGAGGAGCAGCGGTGGGGGCGGTGGGAACTCGAGCTCGAGCTCGAGGAGCAAGCGGTGGGCGGCGGCGCTGTCTGCAGTGTCACCAGGGGCTCAGGGGAAGAGAGCTTCGTCCTTTGGCTCCTCTCAGAGCCAGAAGTCGCCTGGTGCTCACGGTAAGAAAGCTCTGCTATGGCAGCAGGAACAGCAGGAACGGCAGGAGTGGCAGGAGCAGCTGCAGGGACGGCAGATTGAGAGGGACGAGGAGGGGGTGGAGGAGTGGGGGGATGCAGGAACGGCAGGTGGTATTGGTGCAGAGCAGGAGTGGGGGGATGTGGGCGCGGGAGCAGGGGAGAGGGCAGAGAGGGCGGAGAGGGCGGAGAGGGCGGAGATAGAGCGGCAGCTGCGTGCAATGGAGGAGGAGATGGTGGCGATGCAGCAGCAGATCGGCGCGCTGCTCACCATTGGCGCCGCCATGGCCGACCATGGGGACGAGGTTGGAGAGGACGAGGGGGGGGAGCTGCGGGAGGGGGGGCGCGGGGAGCTCGAGTTGGAAGAGCGGGAGTTGGGGGAGAGGGAGCTGGGGGAGGGGGGGTTGGGGGGCGCAGAGGCGGCTCTGGTGGTGGGTAGAGATGGGGAGAAGGGGGAAGGCGAGCAGGCGTTAGAGAGGGAGGGATGCGCGGAGGAGAGGCAGAAGGATGAGAAAGTGGTACCAGAGGATGAGAAAGCGGTACCAGAGGATGAGAAAGCGGTTCCGGAGGATGAGAAAGCGGTTCCGGAGGATGAGAAAGCGGTACCAGAGGATGAGATAGCGGTACCAGAGGATGAGAAAGCGGTTCCGGAGGATGAGAAAGCGGTTCCGGAGGATGAGAAAGCGGCTCCGGAGGATGAGAAAGCGGCTCCGGAGGGTGAAGAGGAGGTGGGGGAGGGGCGTAGCAAGGAGGGGAAAGAAGGGAGCGAGGATAAGGAGGTGTTGTGCTCGAGCCCAAGGGCCAGTGGTGCTGATAACCCAAGGACCCCTGGGGGTAGTAGCAGCGGCGAGGGTAAGGGGATGAGGGAAGGAAGCCATGGTAAGGAGAGAAGGCGGAGTGTGAGTAAGAGTCCGAAGCAGAAGCACAGCCAGGTGTCATCATCCCTTTCATCCCAGTCCGCCTCCCAGCCAGGCTTACAGCCAGCCAACACCAGCAGCAGCCCTGCTCGTGCCTCCTCCTCCTCCTCCTCCTCCTCCTCCTCCTCCTCCTCCTCCTCCTCCTCCTCCTCCTCCTCCTCCTCCTCCTCCTCCTCCTCCTCCTCCTCCTCCTCCTCCTCCTCCTCCTCTCCCTCTCTGTCTTCACCTGCATCTGGTGCAGCTCCTCCCTCCCCTGCACACGCTCTCCCTTCTCCCTCCCGCGCCCTCCCTCCGCTCTCCCCCACCCTCCCTCCGCTCTCCCCCACCCTCCCTCCTCTCTCCCCTGCTGCGGAATCAGGTACAGCGGGGGGGCAGAGGCAGCGCGCGGGGCAGAGGCGGAAAAGGGCCAGTCGGGGAACGGAGAAGCAGCAGGAGGTGGTGGGGAAAGCAGCTCGTGATAGTGTTGATAGTGTTGATGGTCATGAGGCCATGCGTGAGGGCGAGCATTGTGGCGGTGTGGGGATGGAGTCTCCATGCTGTGCTCACTGCCACGCGCCCAGGCACACATGCATCAGGTGAGGCTTGAGTCCGCTCAGGTATTATCCTGCTAGAACAATCTTTCCCAGAACAATCATCATTGCTTGTGTGTGTCTCAACTCAACACCATTCTCATCCACACACACCACTTTCTTCCTCACCGTCTGCTTACTAATTAGGCCTCTACACCCCTTTCCCTTCCCCCTCATCACTCACTCTTATTCCCCCTCTTTCTTGTTATTCTCCTCGTGCCATGGCGCAGTTCCCAGCTGGATCGCGGTGGAGTGGGGTACGCAGTGGTGGCAGCAGGCACTGGCGACATCATCACCTGCAACAACGCCTTCCTCTCCCTCCTCCGCCTCGCTCCTCCTCCCCCTCGCACCGCCGTCACTGCCACAGTCGTGGGTGCTGATTCAGCAGAAACAGAAGCAGCAGCGGCAGATACAGAAACAAACGCAGTTGAAGGTGCAGCAGCAGTGGCTGGATCAGGGTGTGGTGGCTCGGTGTGTCTGAGTGTGGTGAATGCCCTGTCGGCAGAGTCCAAGGGGGAACTCATGGTATGTCTTTTGGATGCTGCTCTGCTCTGCTTGCCTCTGCTCTGCTCTGCTTGCCTCTGCTCTGCTGTGCTAGCCTCTGCTCTGTCCTGCTAGCCTCCGCTCTTCTTCTCTGCTTGCATTTCACATGCCCATCCATTTGATACCAGGAGTTGAGAGCATGTAGTAGAAGGAATTGTTCAGAACCTTCCCCCCCCCCCCCCACCTTGTTCCCTCCATTCACCAGCTCCCTCAGCCTCTGTTCGTCCCTCTATCCCTGTGCTCCCTCTCCTCCCCCATTGCCCCTTCCAGGCATGGCTAGCCACCGCATGCCACGCACTCTCGCATCCCCCTCCCATCACAGTACAGCTACAGGAGAGCCCGTCTGGTGCCAGCACCAGCACCGGCACCAGCACCAGCACGTGTGGCGCCGTCAGTGGGAGGAGCAAGAGCAGCCAGAAGAAGCACAGCAGCAACTCTAGCAGCCGTGGTGGTGTTAGCAGCGCCTCATGCGGGCATGATGTAGCAACAGTTGCACATACGGATCTGGATGGTACATGGAACAGCCCTGGTGCAGCAGCAAATAAAGCCCTCCCCTTCTCCCTGTTACATCCTCCCGCTGTGTCGTCACCTCGCTTACCTCCCTCACCTCTCTCACCCCTCCCTACTTCCCAGTCCCCTCCTCCGGACTCCTCTTGTAACCCTCCTCTCCAGCAGCAGCAGCCACTGGTATCAATGCCTCTAGAGGTTGATGCACAGGGTGAATCATCCACGTCACCGTCACCATCACCATCAGCATCACCATCAACATCACTTCCATTATCGCCGCCAGCACGGCCGCTGCCAGCTTCAGCAGTGCACGAGCGTGTTACGCTCATTCCCTCCCCCTGCCTGCTACCCCTGTCCCTGCCACTGCACGCTGCTGCAGATGGCTCTACTGCTCTGGTAGCCTTGCTGGCAGTCAGAGGCTGCTGCTAATGCTCATGCTCTCATACTCTCATGCTTTCATGCTCTCGTCATAGAAGCGAACACTTTCCATTACACCGAATGGCTTCTTGTATAGCCTCAATAATTATCACAGGGTTGCCTCCTTGGCTGGGGGGAGGTGGATTGTCAGTTGACCTTGTCCGTGCTGCGGGAACACTAACTGGTTTGCTTTTGATGCACCAGTGGCATGTCCAATAGGAGTGTTGTGGTGCTCCTTTAGTGCAAGCTAGGGATCCACAGATGGTAGGAAGCAGATGCTGTTCCGTGTACTGAGTTTATGTATAGCTCCTAGAAACTTTTGTGCTTCAGTTCATAGAATCTGGAATTATAAAGAGCACACTAACGTGTGCTTGCAGTGGGGAATGTTTCATGACTGCATGCTTGGTGCTGTGCTCGGCAGACAACATAGTGTCAAACAAGGTTGGTTGGTGGTTGCGTAAGATTATAAAAGAGAAGTGTTCTACTCCGATCTACAGCACCTTTTCTCATACCGGTTGTTATCGCACAAGGCTCACTCTGACATCTCGTTGGAATCTGGAGTTCCCGCCAATTCATGATCCCTCGAATCGGTTGAATGTTTGAACGGTCACCGTATTGAAACGGACCAAAAATCGCCGCAACGCAATTTAGAGCTCAAAACCCTTTAGAAATAAGGACATACTCACCTTGCACTATCTTACCCAGAGAGTCACTAGAAAAAACCATGGCTAACTCAAAACAATGCTCCAAAACTGGTAGTCGATTGCGGCTAGTCTTGAAGGATGCGCATTTTCGCACTGATGTATACATTGCCGTTGCGTGACACCCGTTGAAGCATTTTCCGAGGCATCCGCTGAACGGTAGCTGCAACTCATTACTCGCAGACAGAGAACCCCGCCACTCATGGGAGTTGTGAGTGAGTATTCCATTTCTCGTTCATATCTGTACTCCTTTCACGATCAACTCCTTGACTCTTGATCCCTTTAAACCCATTCCTTCGGACTGCAATGCTTTCCACGTAGCCGTCGAAGAAGCTGTGCCTTGAGTCACATCAGTACAAGGTTCTATCCTCATTGTACTTTGCCTCGCCAGCTACCCTCATTGTCCACGGTCCGTCTCGCACAGTGCCATCAAATTCTTCGATGACTGGGCATTTGGACGCCTAATGTAGACACCTCATTCTACGCTCGTTCTGAAACCTCAAACGCGAACCTCGTTAAGATTCCTCAAATGCTCGTGTCATAGGTGCGTTATCCGATATTGCGACAACCTGAATTTTCCCTCACACGTGTCACTCCAGTTTTGCTGACGGCGTTGGGTGCAGGAGCAGGCCATGTCATCAGCAAGCCGTTGGTCCGCCAATGCATCCGAACATCCTTCTGTCAGCTCACAGCCGTTGATGGAGCAGAATTAACGAACGGCATCGCTGGATGTTCCCAAGGCGAGAGCGCAGTAGAGGTGAAGGATAGGCGGTTACCATCGTCGGCCGTTTACGAGGGCGTGTTGCTCGTGTTCAAGTGAGTAGACTGACTGGGTGGCGTCTGGACCTTGTAACTTTCCCAAGAACAGGGTTGGATCACAGCGGGAAGAGAGTGGGATGGAAAATGAGAGATCGTTAGGCTATGTGAGCGCCTCAGCTTTTGTCCCTCCCCTCGTACTCATTCACCGTTCTTGCTTTTTCCTCTTGCTCATTCCTTTCCTGACTGCCCCGTTCCCCATCCCTCACGCTCTTGTGAAGCAGTGAGTTGAACCGAAGATCCTCTCACGCATTCTTTGATCCGCCATCAAGACGAGAAGTCAAGGAGAGAGTGCAGGTGGGTCTGTTGGAGAGTGGAGGTGGTAGTTGCAGCCTTTGCTTTCCCATATCCTGATCAGATGATTGGGGGGCTTGCTTCTCGTATACATCCCCATTCTCCTGACAACAGCATCAACAGCTTGTCTCTCCTCACCTTTCTTCCCCTGCTTCCCTCTCATCCTCCCTTCCGTTTTCCCTTCCTCTGATCCTTCCTTTTCCTACTTCCACTCTATCCCCTGCCTTCCTCCTTACACCCGTTCCGCCACTCTATACTGCCCCCCTTCTCCCCTGCCCCTCCTTCCCTGCCTGCTTCCCACTCCACACCAGGCGTTCAACTGTGCCCAGCCAGGCGAGTTCACCCAGGGAGAATTTGAAGAGCTCATCTTCCTATTCTTCCCGGACGCAGTAGCCTGCTTCACAAAGGACATAGTGCTCACATGTACAGCTGTCACGTGTCTCACTATCGCCACCAAGAGCGCTGCTGATGCCGTGCTGAGAAGATCCGGCTCCAAGCGGTCAATTCCTGGAGCCCTGCTGGCATGCGTGATTGGGATAGTGTGGCGGATAGCCAGGCACTAAGGTAACTCCATGTGGACTACATGGCATGAGTTGTGATTGTACTGCTTGTGAAGTCGTGTCACAATCAGAAGGTGACAACATCGGCGCCAGCAGGAAGCGGGTTGGAGAGCGCACAGTCTAGAGCATGGACTCTAGATTCGAGTATGCGCAGCCCACCACTGGCCTCAGCACCTTGCAAGTCAAAGCACACACACACACTGGCAGCGCTGCCAGCCAAAAACTGCCATGTGCAGTGTGCTTTCAGCATCTCACCTTCCCCTCCTTAAGACCGTTGCATCGTAATCGCATCGCCTCCTCTCATCTCCTCCATCCAGCAGAGAAACTTTTGGCCTTGCATGGCTGTCAGCAGGGAATCTGCGTGCTGCTAAGGTACCTTCCATGCTGTTGTACGGTATGGTATGGAAAGACCACTGCATCGTTCCATTCATGCTGCCAGAAGCGATGTGCACTTGTGCACTGCCACCTGGTTGGCTTCCCGGTACTGTACGTTTCTGCTTGTTTTATCAGTGCCATCGAGCTGTTTGCTAACAAGCTTGATATTCCTCTAGCAGGAAAGAACACGGTAATGGATGGACTCGTGGTTCGGTTCTGTACTACTGTGTTAGATGCAAACGCAATTCGCCACTCAACCTACATACTCAATGGATTTCAAGAGTAGCCCTGACACATTTGCAGAGCAATTTCCAACCACCTTAGTGGGGGATTATTCTCGGATGAGCCTGCTGCATTGACGATCCCATGGCCTGGAAAGGGTACTTTAACCACCACCACCGTCGCCATGCACTCCACTAAGACACGCAGGCATCCCACATCAGGGACAGCTCAAAGAATCACCATACACACCTTGCAAGTGGCGTACTGCTTTCACGCGCTCACACGGTCACACACATTCACGCATCCATGCATTCATCATCACTACATCTCCCCGGTGTTGTTGGCGCCTCAAAATCCGCCTTCCCGAAGCCCTTGCCCATGTGAGTCGAGGCTGTGTGTCAGTCAGTGCACGTCGCTGTGAATGTGCCCCTGTGCGCTCACTTGTGGAGCATGGCAAGGAGAGTGACAGGACGCACAGCACGTGCACGGGGTGAAGGAAGATCAGGATGCTGGGGTCCGGATGTGCCTACTGCTACTGATGCTGCTCCATCTGCTTCTTCTGATGCTGCTGCTGCTGCTGGTGCTACTGGTGCTGATGCCAGTGCTGCTGTGTGGATTGTTGCAGGGATGGCAGCAGGGCAGCAGATGAAGGTCACAGAGTGGGAGGAGGAAGGAGCCTCTGAAGGGAGCAGGGATGCATTTCCTATGGCACACTGCTTCCCACTGTGAGTGATTGGCAGAGTGAAGGGAGGTGGAGAGGGCGTGTTGCTGGATATGCAGTTGTGAAGCCACTCCTGCAATGCAGTGTGGGAGGAGAGGAGAGGAGAGGGGAGGGGAGGGGAGATAGGATGACACAGACAAAAAGACGCGAAGAGGTAAGGCAGACGATGACAGGCAGAAAACGCAGTGTGGTGTTGTGAATGGCCTATGGACAGAGCACCGCACAGTGCAGGTGCAAGCTTCCTACAAGACCAAGCACCTATGCTGGCGCCATGTTTTGGGAAGTTGAACTATATACGCATGTACACCCACTCGTGAACTCACTCACTGGTGCCCTGCACGCACGCACTCACGCACCGCACATGCACGCTCGCACTCACGCACACACGCACACCTTGCCATGGCAATGCCATCTCAACTCGCAACCACCGCACAAGACAACACGGCCACATTCCCCTTGTCAACCAACTGGTCCTTGCACCCCCCGTTTACCCACCACCACACCCACCCATCCCACCCAGCCACCACCATCACCAACCCATCACCACTGCACCACCAACCCCCCATCTGCCCACATGGAAAGGCGCTCTGTGGTGGTGCGGCAGGGCAGGGAGCAGCAAAAGGCCGGGTGCAAGGAGCGAGGGGGGGGCGGCGAGGAGGGAGGCGAGTGCGGCGTTGCAGGCGACGAGGCTCGAGGAGGAGGGGTCCACGAGGGCAAAGCCCACACTCGCATGGTCCAACACATGGCTGCGAGGCAGGTTGGTGGTGGGGGTGAAAGTGGGAAGGGGGGAGAAGCGGGAATTTGGGAAGAATGAAAGCGGGGATAGAGTGAAAAAAAAAGGTTGGGGGGGGGGGGGGCGGAAAGAGAGAACGGGGGGGAGGAAGAGGGGTGGAGGTTGTGGGTGAAGGGAAAGGAGGTGGGGAATAGTGGGAAGGTGAAAGCAAGAAGCAGACGCGGAAAGAGCGAGGAGTGTGGATTTTTTTTTAGAATTCTCAAAAACCAGCTTGTATGGTTGACGTGTCCGTTGTTTCAACCCTCAGATGCACCCTGCCATGGCATGCTGCATCCCTGTGAAATCCATTAATGAGCACGCCGGTGCGTGCTCCCTGCATGTGTGTGTGTGCATGCCTGTGCGTACCTGACCCATTGTGCTGAGCTGTGGAAAGAGGGCAGGCAGGCAGCAGCAGGGGATGCGGCCAAGGAGGATGGGCAAACCCGAGGGAGACAAGAGACTTGAACAGCGGTGGAGGAGGAGGAGGAGGAGGTACAGAGCAGGTGAGAAGGGTTGTAGTCAATAAGTGCACTGGCGGCACCAGTGGTGCTGCTGCTGGCGATGGGGGAAGAGGTTGCCATAACACCTGCATATTGCTTCCGACCCTCCTCATACTCCACACAACTCTCACACGGATTGCTGCTATCACCTGCATCTGTATGCAACCCCATGCCACTCCCGTCTCGGCTCTCCTGTTCCTCTCCTCGCATGCTCTCTGGCTGCAACACTTCCTTCCCCCTTCCATCTGGTCCTTTATCAGACGGCTCAGCACCACCCTCCCCTTCCTCTCCACATGAATCCATGCGTTTGTGTCCTCCCACCCCATCCCCTTCCTCTTCCGCACCCTGCTCCAACTCTGCACCGTCCCTTCCCTTCATCTCCGCACCTTCCATCTCAGTTGCTCCCTCTGCTGTGCTCCCAACCTCCTCCTCCTCACTTACTCTCTCCTTCCTCCTTCCCTCCTCCTTCTCCTTCACTCCCGTCTCCCCTTCCCCTTCTCCCTCCGCTCCTCTCTCCCCACCCACCTCTTCCTCTTGAGTTGGGTCCACCCTATCCCCATCCACTGCATCAACCTCACTCCCATCCCCTCTATCTGGCACCTCACTCCATTTCTCAGAGCACCATTCCTCATCCTCTCTTTCATCCTCTCCTTGATCTTCTCTTCCATCCTCCACCTCCTCGCCCCCTCTCACTCCCTCCCGTTCCCTCTCCTCCTCCCCATCCCAACAATCCACCACACTCCAAGCCCCCTCCTCGCCCTCCATCCTCTCCTCCCCACCCTCTCTCCACGACTCTTCCAATTCACCTTCCCTCTCTAAATACCCCTCTTCCTCTCCACGCTCCTCCCCCTCTTCCCCTTCAGCAACTCCCCCAGCCCCCTCAACGTTTTGAACCGAATCATAGCCCTCATCGCCCCTCTCACTACCACCCCCATCCCTCCCAAAACTCCTCCCATCGTCCTTCCCTAGGCCCCCGCTTTCAACCCCACCTCCCGTTCCCACACCACGTACCCTATCACCAACCCCCTCTTGCTTCCCATCTCCCTCTGGCAATTTCCTCAGCCCATGACCATGCCCAGGCCTGGGTCTCCGCCTGCTCTCCTCTCCAATGCACCCTCCCTCCCGTTCCCCTATTCCGTCCCCTTCCCCTCCCCTTTCCTCCTCTCCGTCGTCCACCCCACCCTCCTTCTCCCCACCATCCGAATGCTCTGTCTCCTCACCTTCCACCAGTTGACCATGCCCCAGCACTTGCTCATGCCCCGGCAGCAGCTGTCCATGGGAGGGCAGGATGAGGCGGTTGAGTTGCTGCTCCATCTGAACCATCTGAGAGTCCAGCCACATCAGCTCACTCGCTAATATCTCCCTCTGCTTCTCACTCTGCTCCTTCTCCTTCCCCTTCTCCTTCTCCTTGCCCTTCCCCTTCCCCTTTATTGCTTTGGACAGAGGCGCTACCAGGCCACCTCCCCCTCCCCCTCCCCCGCCTCCTCCTCCCGCTTTCCCTCTGCCTACCCATCCATTCGGCGGGGTCCTAGACCCCTCTCCTCCTCTCCCCTTCCCCCCGCGCACACTCCCCGTTCTCCACCCAAACACCCCCCCTCCTCTCCCCCCACTCTCTCCACCCACCTCTCCTCCCCCGTCCCAACCCCCACCAACAGACACACCCTCTCCTCCCCCACCCGTCCCATCCCACACACCCCCACGCCCACCCACCCCATCCACCAGCCGATACCCACTCCCCTCCATCACCCACGCAGCACCCCTCTCCCCCGACTCCCTCTCCCTCCGCCACTCCCCCCCACTGCCCCAGCTACCCGCCCTGCCATGCGCCTCATGCGCCACCACCCTCCCCCCAGACCCCTCCAGGTCCCCCGCAGAGGATTTCATGTGCAGAGTAGCAGTGCGTTCCCAGATAAATCCTTCCTCAGATGCACCTGCTGCGCCCACCATGCCGCCTGGTCCACTGGACGTGGACCGACCCACCACGCGCCTACTGCTCGCTCCGCCTCCTAGTGCTGCTCCTAGGCCAAACACTAAGCCGCTGCTCCGCCTCCCCCCTCCGCCCCCTCCGGCCCCACCTGATCCCCACGCCCCACCACCATGCCCCGTGTCTCCCTCCCCCCCGACATCTCCCCTCCCCAATCCCTCCCTCCCCTCTCTCCCTCCTCGCCGTGACCTCTCCCCGTCGTCCCGACCAAACTTCATCCCCCACCCTAGCCACCTGCTGCTGCTCTTCCCACTAGAGGCAATTCTTTTCCACCTCTCCTCCCCTCGCCCCCGCTGCCCACTCCGCCCACGGGCCATCCCGTCCCGCTGCCCCTCCTCCTGCTCCTGCTGCCACTGCACCTGCCGCCGCCGCTGCCGCTCCTGCCACTCCTCCTCCTGCCCTAACTCCGCATCATAGGCCCCATCTCCATCCCCTTCCCCATACCCCTCCTCGTTCTCCTCCCACGCTTCCTCCTGCTGCCCCCACCTGCCGTCCCCACCACTCTCCTCCTCCCTCCCGCCCCAGCCCCCCCGTGCCTCTCGCCCCCACGCCCTTCGGGAAGCCTCAGAAAGCTCTGAAGCGTCTGCAGTAAACGAGCGGAGGAAGCGAGGGGAGGTGAGGGAGAATGCTCTTTGCGAGGCCGTGGGGGTGCGCGCTGGGGTGTGGGGATAAGGGCTTGGGTTGTGGAGAGGCGTGGTGGCGAAAGCAGAGGAGGACGAGGAGGAGGAGGAGGGGAAAGCGGCTGGTGGAAGAGCGAGAGGGGCGACTGAGACTGTGAAAGCAGCCCCTCCAGCAGCAGCAGTGCTGCCTGCGCTACCTCCCGCAGCAGCAGCCGCAGCAGGACGCAGGCTAGAGGGAAGAGTGGGGCACTTCTGAAAGCTGGAGGAAGGATCCGTGGCAGCAGCAGCACCGGCAGCACCACCACCAGCAGCAGCAGCATCGCCGCTGAGTCCTGCTCTTCCTCCTCGTTCCATGTTAGAGGCACCCACCCTGCCTCTCCCTGCGTCCCTCTCCTCGTCTATTGCGCGTGAAGACATGCGGTGGTGGGGGGACGGTGAGGGGTTGGGCGAGGTGGTGTGGGTGGGAACGCGGCCAGTGAGGCTGGAGGACTTGGGGAAGAAAGACCTTGCTCTTGATGCACCTGCCCGTGCAGCCATGGCAGCTGTTGCACCAGTAGCACCAGCAACAGCAGCACTGGCAGCACTGGAAGTGGCAGCAGCAGCAGCAGCAGCAGCAGCAGCAGAAGCAGGAGTAATGGAAGCAGGGGCAGGGGCACGAGCAGGCTTGAGAGGGCTGGGAGAGCGAGCAGGCACAGCAGACGTCATTGCAGAGACAGCACGACCAAACCGTGCTGCTGCAGTTGGTGCCGCTGCTGTTGGTGCCGCTGCTGCTGCTCCTCCTCCACTTGCTGCTCCTACACCTGACACATTTGATCCAGCTATAGCCGCAGCGGATGCTGCTGCTGCAGCAGCTGTCCCATGCTCTGCCCCTGTGCCACCACCTGCTGCTGCCACCGATCCAACCACAGCACTCTCTTCCCCTCGCGGCCCTCTGCTCCCTCCACCATCCACCTCAAGCCTCCCACCCACTCCCTGCCTCGCTCCACCACCACTCACTACCCGCACACCGTTCACCACACCTCCCGATTCTCTCCCTGCTACCGCCTCAGCCCCAGCACCGCTGCTCATACCACCGTCTCCACCTGCTGCCCCTGCCACTGCTGCGCCCTGGCTGTGAGGAAGCACCTCCCCCAGGGCCCGGGAGCGGTCCCTGGGACTGAGCAACGCCTTGAGAGCCAGCAGCCCGCCTCTCGGACTCAGCAGCGGCGCCCGGCCGCTGTGACCCGTGCCGATAGCAGCAGCAGCACCAGCAGCAGCGCCAGCAGCAGCTGGCGAAGCGGAGTTGCCTGGCGAGGGCTTGGCAAGGGCAAGGGACGTGGGCCCAGGCTCGATGTGCCTGGCGCCTGCTCCCACGCCCTGGGGAGAAACGAACAGCGCTCCCGCCGCTCCTGCTCTTGCTGATGCTGGTCCCATTCCCCCGGCAGCAGCACCCATGGTCCCTTTCCCATGTGAGAACCGGCCAGGAGTCTGCACCTGATGCGGACCCGGACCCGCTTGCATTGCCAGTGTCAGCTTCCCCAGTCGCCCATCCATTCCTCTCCGCTCACTCAACCCGCCGCTCTTGCTGCGAGACGAGGCAGCAGCCACCGCCTCTGACGGCCGCCACTCCCTTTCACTGGGCTTGCTCCCTGGCCCCCCAGCAGGCCCCACGCTCGAGCCAGCGTCAGCAACAGCAGCAGCAGCATCACCAGCATTCGCAGCTGCGGCAGTAGCGGCAACAGAGGCAACAGCAGCAGCGACTAAACCAGAGGAAGGCTCCCCAGGCAACCCTGTTGCACCTCCTGCACTGGTCCTACCCTCTAGCCTTGCTGCAGTGCCCCATTCACCTCCGGCCACGACTGCCCCTATCTCTGTACCATCTGTCACTGCCCTTCTGAGTGCCCTCTCCCCTAGCTCTGCCCTCCACGTATCTCCACACTCCTCAGAGGGAATTCCTTTTCCCCCTCCTGCTGCTCCTCCTCCTCCTCCTCCTCCTCCTCCTCCTCCTCCTCCTCCTCCTCCTCCTCCTCCTCCTCCTCCTCCTCCCTCCTCCCCCTCCTCCTCCTCCCCCACCCCCTCCTCCTCCTCCTCCTCCTCCTCCTCCTCCTCCTCCTCCTCCTCCTCCTCCTCCTCCTCCTCCTCCTCCCCCCCCCCCCCCCCCCTCCTCCTCCTCCTCCTCCTCCTCCTCCTCCTCCTCCTCCTCCTCCTCCTCCTCCTCCTCCTCCTCCTCCTCCTCCTCCTCCTCCACCTCTCCCCTTTCCTCCTCCTCCACCTCCTTTATCTCCTCCTGTCAGCCTCCCACTCAGCCGACCAATAGACACCACGGCAGCAGCTTGAGCTAGCCAGTCACCCTTCTTGCTGCCACTGCCGCTGCTGCTACTAAAGCTGCTCCTCCTACCCGCACCATCAAAACCGAAACCCTCAGCATCTACTGTACCACCATCACCACTGCCACAGCCGCCACCACCAGCAGCGGCAGCAGCAGCGCTAAGGCGGACTCGGATGGGGGAAGCAATACCGTCCCTGGCAGAGCCTCCAAACCCAACGCGTCTAATCAGCCGCCTTCCAGGAGTCAACACTTCTGACACATACCCACCCCTCTCCCTCTCCCCTCTTCTCTCCCTCTCCTTCTCTCTCCTGTTACTGCTACTGGTGCCGCTGCCGCTGCTGGTGCTGCTGCTGCCCCATGCCCCCCGCGCCCCACCCACGGCCGGTGGCGTGAGGGCAGTGGGGTGCGAGGGTAAGTAGAGGGACGGAGGGTGGGGAGGCAGGGAGTCGTACGCGGCAGAGGAGGGCAGCAGCGAGTGGAATGTGGACACCTTGCGGAGGGACATGGCAGGGCTTGACGGGGCCATCTGTGTAATACCGTTCCATCCCTGCTGCTGCTGCTGCTGCTGCTGCTGCTGCTGCTGCTGCTGCTGCTGCTGCTGCTGCTGCTGCTGCTGGTTGCTCGTGTCATTGGGCGATTGCAGCGGGGCAGAGAAGGCCAGGGGGGAAGTCATGGCGCCGCCACCAGCAGCACCACCACCAGCCGCGCTACCGTCAGCAGCAGCATCCTCCTTGAGCCTCAGAAACCCCGCGATCTTATTCACAAGCTTCTTTGACATGGGCCTGCTGCCGCTCCGCCCTCCTCTCCCTCCCCCCTCTCGCTCCCCCCCACCATCCTCCACGTTCACATGCAGGCTCGGCGCCAGGCCACCAGCCGAAGCACCAGGGGCGGCGGCAGCAGCAGCGGCCCCAGCAGTGGTGGTGGGAGCTGAGGGGTTGTTGACGATGGCGAGAGTGGCGATGACAGCGCGGGTTTCTGGCACGAACTGGCATGGCTGCACCATTAGGTCTACTGCCACGCCTGCCAGATGCCCGCCCTTCCCAAAGTCGCGCACGCGGAACCTGGAGTGGGGGTGGGTGGGGGGAGGCGAGGTGGGCGTGAAGGGGGGGGGGGGGGGTGCGAGGGGATGAGGGGGAGGCGGAAGAAGGGATGGAGAAGGGGGGGATGGGAAGGGGCCGCTAGTTTGGGGTGGCGGCCAGGCCACAAGGAGGTGCATGCACAGATTGGGTAAAGGATACCTGCAGAAATTCAAACGAAAGGGGATGAGGAGGGGCGGGGGGGTCTAGAGGAGCAGTACACCGTTGAGCCTTCCCATTCGACGCATTCAACACGTCTCAAAACCCCCGCCCCCTCCTCCCCCCTTTCCTCCCTTTGTTCCATGCATTCGCCTGCACTCACCGCAGCACAGCAGCGCCGATCCCGGCCTTCCCCCCGCCTCCCGCCGTCCCAAACACGTCCGCCATGGCCTCCTGCCACATGCGCATCGTCAGATCACTCGTCAAGTGGAATAAAGACATTGGTCCCCCGCCTCCCGCCGCCCCAATAGTTCTCCCCTTCCCCGCTTCTTCACCCTCCTGCTCCGCGCACGTCTCCCCCTCTCGCGCCCTTCCCCCATTGCACTCGTTCTCGTTGTAGCCGCTGCTTGTACTGTCAACTCCGCTCTCCCCAACGGAGCATCCGCGCACGCCCGTTCCGCCTCCGCCGCCTCCGCCACCTCCTCCGCCTCCGCCGCCTCCCCCGCTGGTGGTTCCGCCCGTCGCCAGCTCATCGGCGGAGCAGCCCAGCGCAGCAACAGCGCCGCTACTCACGGCGACGACGAGAGCGTACTGTCGTTCCAGCAGCAGCATCATCGCCCGCGATTGCTGCACGAACCGCGCCGCGGGGGAGTTCGCGAGAGACGCGGGAATTGAGGGGATTACACGGGGGGCTGCCGAGCCTCCCGGGGGGGATCCGCCGCTGCTGTCAGTACCGCCGGCGGAACTGGCGGAACTCGCAGCGGAAACGTTAACCCCGTGGGCGGTGGGGGAGATTCCTGCATTGGGGGAAAGCCCGGGCGTGGGGCGCGCGACGGGGGGTTTCCCGATGCTGGTGGAGGTGGGCGGAACCAGCGGAGAGGAGTGACCAAGGCGCAGGCGCTGCTGCGGGCTCTTCTGCCTAGCGCTCTTTCTCCCCTGGCTGTCCGCGCACCCGGCGGAAGCGACGACGGTGGAAGCCGCCGCTGTCGCGGAGTCGTGCGGTTGTCCGGTGCGCATTACCGCATTCTCCGCAGTTGCGCCGCGGCGCTCCAAGCCGCGGCTGCCGTGGAAACCTTCCCACGCGTCGCCGTCGTCCCCGCGGCTCCCCGCACGGCCGTTCTCCCCGTTCCCCGCGCGCCCGACCCGTTCGTTCTCCGCCTTCTTGCCTTCCGCGCAGTCGGTCGCTCCGCCGTTTCCATATCGCGCCCGCATCGCCTCATTGTGGTTCTGCTGGAGCAGCTGTGCCGGCGATTCCGGCGACTGCGAGTCTGGTTGCGACAGGGTTTGCGTCTGTTGAGGGGTGACGTTGTCAGGGAGATCGGAGAGGGAAGGCGAGCGGAGATAGCGCGAGGCGGAAAGAGCAGGGACGTCGGCAGCCATGGGGGAGGGGCAATGCGGGATTGTCGACCGCGCTGATGTGGCGGTGGGTAGCGTAAGGAATTAGTGGCTAACGCGCAGCGGGCTAATGCACAGCGTGCATCTATTTTGGGTAGTACCGATGAATGCTCACGGCCCTACTCGCAGAATTTTGAAGTATTTCGGCCGCAGCAAGTCAGCCAGCCTCGTGCTCAGGAAAAAATAAGGGTATTAATTCAAGGGCCTTGCAACTCGTGCTACCATTGTCGAGCTGTCACGGCCGTCAACGGTTTGTACGCTCGTCATGAGATTCGGTGTCTGTCCACGTGCCTCGTTCATCCCTGCTTTGCCCAGGACTTAATCATGTAAGCCTGTGAGCATCATCCATTGTGTCCTTGCCAGCGCTAGTTCGTCCTGCCTGGTATGTTCCTGCTTGTGCAGCAGCGACTGGACAGAATGGGGTGGGCGTGATGTGATGTGACGCGATGGAATGGCGGAGGCTCCACGCCACGCAGTCGACGCGACGAGTGACCGCGGGCGAGCGACAGCTTGAGCTTGAACGTTCGCACTTCGCCCAACGAGTCCCGAAGTTTGCCCACCATCGAAGTTATGAATATATATGGTTTTCCATGTTTTTGATCCTGAATGTGTGTCTACATTGCAAAGCTGGTTTTTGAAGGCTTGTCCAAATGTCCGATTTATAAGCCCTCTTCTTTCACAAAACTTGGACCCTGGTGCCCGAGGATTTTTCACCCTCCCAGCCCTCGAGTCAAACCAGCCACTTGGCCGAGTGTATTTAGCCCTTGGGGATTGTCTCCGCCAACCACCAGATGACATTTTATGGGGCACTTCGCGCGACAACAAAGACATCCTTCATGTTGCGTTGCTCGCTCCGCCCGTCCTCTCAGGCAACTTGGCAGATCTGTCGACACATGTTGTGCGTTTGTCCTCAGGCTGCTTTGTTTTGGGTGCTCGCAGGCAACAGTGACCGTTTTCTGGATGAGCGACAGACAGACACGCACAACAAAAGGAGCAACATTCCCTCCCGAGACTCGGGTGGGTTGTGCGATAGGAACGTGTCTTTGAACTAGGATATTCACCCAAGCTCCGTGCTCCAGATGTACTTACTAATCGGAATTAAAGTCATGTTGTCATTCGATCCACAAAAACGATTTGCTGAGAGTGGTGAGGGCAGAACAGGTATTGTTCGTAGAAAGGAATTCACACGAGACAGCCTAGTTGCCAAATTAATCTTGTTCTACATGTGTCCAAAAAAATGGTCGGGTTAGCCCACTTGTAAGACCAATCAGATCCATCAACAGCAGGTTTGGGGAAACCTGAAGGAAATGGGTCGTTGGATGTGCGACAAGGGTGTGCGACAGCTTCGCTCGAAAGTCGTTACAGTAATTCGGCTCACAACAACTACCTTTGCCCCGTCATCTGTCTTGGCCCTGTCAATCCTCTCAAGTTCAGCGCTTGCCTGGCGTCGAGGGAGTTCGCCATCAAAATCGCCCACACGAGAACTGTAACAAACTGTTCCTCTTATGGATGAGTAGGTGATTGGCAACCCTTACTGGCATTTGGTTACGAGTGATTTGTGTAGTATTTTACAGGGACAGGATTCATCTAAAACCTTCTATGTCATAATACTACACCATGTTGAGTTCCTGTTGAAAATCTAATGTGGTCGTAAGTAATCAATCCTAATACTGATTGGGGATTCCATAGAGAACAGAATCTAGAGGCACGGCACGGGCCTGCAATGGAGGAATGAATCTTGATGTGCTGTGCTTGCTGGAATGAGCCCTGCAGTGAGGAGTAGCTTCATGGCTATATGAAGCTTCTTTTAGGGTATCAACAACACACATAATCGCATCGAAGAAATAATATTTTGTACTGCATCTAGCTTCGGGTAGGAAGTAGCGCCAACAAGTACCTGGATACATCGCGCCAGCGCAAGTTACACAGAAGAATTAACGTGTAACATGTAACAGTTTCTACATGGATAAACCCATAAGGATTTCAATAACCTCGAGCGAGCTGCTCCATGGGACATGCAGATTTTTCACTGCTGTAGAGCCCCGTTTAACACCATCAAGGCAACCTCGCGCCGGCTCGTGTCCAATGGCACTGCATCGGTTGCAGAGGCAGGCCGACCACAGGTTAACAGAGAGGGAGAGTAGATGAAGGAGACGTGGGCTGCTGCTCCCGCTGCTGCCGCTGTTCCCGCTGCTGACGCTGCCGCTGTTGAGCCTACTGCTGCAGGGGGTGGAGCAGAGGAGTTGCTCGACTTCCCAGCGATAAGCCCAGTCGACTCAGCAGCAGGCATAGAAGCGCACGAGGATTGGGAATCAGCGCACCAGTCGGTGCTGCACGATGGGGTAGCCAGGCCCGCGATGAGCGGGGGCACATGTGTGGCATCTGCGGCCATTTTGAGCCAATCCTGGGACAGCAAGGGTTCAAGGGGGAAAGGGGAAATGTGGCAACAGTTTCAGCAAAGGAGCAGGCAGCAACATGAGGAGGAGCATGAAGGGGAAACGCCCACCAAACCAAGCACATGTTCCGTCCCTCTTCCATCAGAACCACCATTCGCAGAGGTTGAGTTCTAATCCAAGCTACGCTAGGATTTCTGCCGCATTTTGAGACGTCTCAAAACACTGAGTTCTAATCCAAGCTACGCAAGGATTTCTGCCGCATTTTGAGACGTCTCAAAACACTGAGTTCTAATCCAAGCTACGCTAGGATTTCTGCCGCATTTTGAGACGTCTCACAACACTGAGTTCTAATCCAAGCTACGCTAGGATTTCTGCCGCATTTTGAGACGTCTCAAAACACTGAGTTCTCATCCAAGCTACGCTAGGATTTCTGCCGCACCCACATCATGCACCTGTGCCTCAGTCCATCCTCCCTAGGTTTCAGTCCTTTCACACTACGACGCCACAACGCTGGCCTATATCATCTCAGGTTGTTTCTCAGGAGTCGCAAACAACAGCTTCCATGGTTTGCAGATTTACCAGGAATTGTGACTTGGAGGTGGGATCCAGTGCAGAGAGCCAATGAGGGGCAGGCGAGGCGGAGAAGAGGGGTTTTATTAAGGCGCCTCATAAATCACTTCGCTTGCAGACTCACCAGGAATTGTGACTTGGAGGTGGGATCCAGTGCAGAGAGCCATTGAGGGGCAGGTGAGGCGAGGCGGAGGAGGGAGAGGAAGGTGTTGTTGCAGGTGATGATGTCGCCAGTGCCTGCTGCCACCACTGCGTACCCCATTCCACCGCGATCCATCACATGGCTGGAGCAAGCGCGGGAATGAAAGAGCGATGGGGATGAGCAGATTGAAACGATCAGTCAGTGGGGAATGACAGGAACGAGGAGGCACCCCAGTGGCCGAAAGACTACACCATCTGAACAAGAGAGGCTTGCACAAAAGAAGTACATATAAGCAAGGCACCATGCATGCATGCATGCGTGGATGGATAGATGGATGGATGGATGGACTTCATTCGTTGCCATTCCGTAGAGGGTGGGTGGGTGCATGGCACAACACATGTAATGGCAGCACCCACAACATGCCGCCCACCACACCACACCGAGATGATAATGACCCATGGTAACCCATGGTAACCCATGGTAACCCATGGTGACCCATGGTAACCCATGGTGACCCATGGTGACCCATGGTGACCCATGATGACCCATGATGACCCATGATGACCCATGATGACCCATGGTGACCCATGATGACCCATGGTGACCCATGATGACCCATTGTGACCCATGATGACCCACGGTGACCCATGATGACCCATAATGACCCATGATGACCCATGATGACCCATGATGACCTGATAACACAGCTTTTGACAGGGCACAAAAGGCACAGCTCACCTTACACACTCGTCCGAGCTCCCAAGGCACGGTGCTTGTTGTGCCGGCACATGCCCACTGCCCCCATCACTGCCCTCCACTCTGCTGCTGCCCTCCTTGTTTCCCATCGCCACTGCAATCGCCCCATCTTCCACCTCTTCTCCAGTTCTTTCCAAGGCACCATCGCCGCCATCCCCACCACCTCTACGTCTTTCAAATGCTGCCTCCTCCTCCCCGCCCTTGCCGCATTCATATTTTCTCTCTTCAACATCTCCTTCTTTTCCCTCCACGACCTCGCCCTCCCTTGCCTCCTCTCCCTTCTCTCCCTCTCCCAGCCCGCTCTCTCTCCACTCCATACCCCCTTCCTCATCCCCCCCTGCTCTCCGCTCTGCACTCCCCTCACGCTCCAACTCCCCTCTCTCACCCTCTACCTTGGCCGTCCCACCATCACCACCACACTCAACCGCACCCAACACCATCAGCTGCTGCTGCAGGGCCGCCAGTTGCTGCTCTAGGGCCCTAAGCTCTTGCTCCACAGCACTCTTCTCAATCACCATCACCTCCCCTGCTGCGTCACATGCACCCCTCCCTGCGTCCTCTTCATCCTCTTCCGCCTCCTCGGCTCCTTCCATAGGGATTTTCTCGCAGATGCTGGGAAGGCAACTATCATCATTCGTTTCTGGCCGCCGGCGTTCCTCCTGTTCCCCCGGCTCCGTCACCCCAGCCTTTACGTGCTCCACTTTTTCTCCTTCGTTATCTTCCTCTGCTGCTGCTGCTGGTGCTGGTGCTGGTGGTGCTGGTGCTGGTGCGGGTTCAGGGATGGGGCCAACGGCAGTGGCAACATCAGTGGTTTTGACAGAATCATTAACCACAGGACCTGCAGCAGCACTGACATCAGCAGAAGCTGCCGCATCCGCATCAACAGCAACGGCAGCAGCAGCAGGGGTAGCAGCAGCAGGGGCAGCAGCAGCAGGAGGGGCAACAGCGGCAACAGCAGCAGAGGCAGCAGCAGCAGCACTGCTGTCGTCGACACTCGACGGCACTGGGAGTGATGGAACCCCATCCTCCTCCTCCTCCTCGATCTTCCCCTCCTCTTCACCCTCCTCCTCCCCTTCCTCCACCCACCTTCCCACCTCCCATCCCCTCCCATCCCCTCCCAGGGATAAAGTAGAACTGAAGCTCGCATTCCCAAGGCTCAGAGCCACAATGCTCGCCCCCAGACTCCCACCAAAGCTGCTACTCGAGAACCCACCGCTGAGACCACCACCAAAGCTGCCATACCCACCGTCCGTCGTCCCACCCGTGCCACTGCCGCTGCTGCTGCTGCTGCCAGGAGTGGTGGGTCCAGTATTGGCAACACTGATGCGCCTCCAGCTCAGCCTCCTACCCGTTGCAGGCTTCCGCGCCTGCTTCTCTTTCTCTGCTGCTGCTGCAGCTGCCGCTGCCGCTGCTGCTCCAACACCTGCTGCTCCACCTGTCGCTCCTGCGCTACCCTTTCGCTTTGACCCACCTGCCTTTGTCCGAGCGCTGCCGCTACCAGCAGCAGAGGCAGTAGAAGGCAAAGCGGCTGGTTTCTTCTGTTCACGGGAGGTAGGGGTTGTTGATCGGGCTCTGTGACTAAAAGACTCGTTCGCCTTACCCTCCTCCACCACTGCCCCTTCGCCCGCCTCCCCTTCCCTCCCTTCCCTCACATCAAACCTCACCTTCCCGACTTCCTCTCTCCCTTCGTCCGCCCCCTGGACAGCCTCTCCCTCTCTCTCCTTCTCTGCCGCCTCATCGTCCTCCCCTTTGCTCTCCCCACCCTCTTCCTGCACCTCTGGTGCAGTTGCATCCAGCTTCATGCCTCTGCTGTTCCCCTCACCACTGCCACTAGCAGAGCAGAGTTCCTCTGCCCTGTCGCCACTCGTATGATCAACCTCCTTAGTTGATTCCACTGCTGCTGCTGCTGCTGCTGCTGCACCAGGGGAAACACCCTCGCCCCTTGCTTTCTCTACACTCCCTGCACTCACTTCCCCAGGTAGAGAGGAGTTAAAGAGAGGACTACTGGCAGTGGTGGCGACAGCAGCAGCTGCAGTGTCTGCTCCTGCCTCTTTTTCTGCTCCTGCTCCTAATTTTGATCCTGCTCCTGCTATTGCACCATCTCCATCAGAGACCAGCACAGGCTCACCAAGCAACACGGCTGAGGCAGCAGCAGCAGCAGCAGCAGCAGCAGCAGCAGCAGCAGAGGCAGCAAAAGCAGAAGAAGCAGCAGATGCAGGCAGGGCATCGTGAGAGGACGAGGTCATAGGATCAACGGCATGAGAAGAGGAGGGTGCCAAGGGCATGCCGCCCACCACCACCACCACGTCTCCACTTGCCGTTTGAGTCCACTCCGTCGGCTCCGAACCTGCATGCGCAGCCACGGCCCCCCCCACTCCTCCCGCAGCGTGAAGGGTTGGAGAGCGACAGGGCTCTTTTGAAGCAGATGGAGAGCCGTCAGTTGGAGAGGCAGGGGCTTGAGAAGGAGGGCTGGGAGCAACTGCAGCATCTGACGGCAACCACGGTATCAGGATCAACAGCAGATGCAGCAGGGCCGGTAGCAGCACCAGGGGCGGTAGCAGCAGCAGGGGCGGTAGCAGCACCAGGGGCGGTAGCAGCAGCAGGGGCGGTAGCAGCAGGAGCGGCAGCAGCAGCATGTGCATGGTCCTGGCCCGTGTGATGCCTGCATGCATCTTCATCCCGCTCCATCCCCCTCAACCGCACCGCATCGCAACTTGTGGACCTTCTTCTAAGCTGCACTGGGTCCTGCCCTGACCCACGCACTGAACCACGCACTTGTACCCTCCCTCTTTTCTCCCTCACTTGCCCCTCTGCTGCACTGCCTGTATCCTCTTTGCCCGAATCCAACCAATCGTCCTCCTCCCCTGCATCCAGCCCCCCTCCCTCTTCCAACCACTGCTGCCTTTGCTTCCGCTGCCCTGCTTTTCCTCTCCCTCCACTCCCACCACCTTCATTCCCCTCCTCCCTCTCCTCTCCCTCCTCCTCCTCCTCCTCCTCCTCCTCATCATCATAATCAGCATTCGCAGCAGCAGCAATGGCAGCAGATGCCACATGGCTGGGCACGCGCATGCTCCGACTGCCACGAGCACCCAGGGACTTCAACCCCCTCAGGCTTCCAATGCTGCTGCTGTGGCTGTGCCCGTGACCGTGGCCATGGCCAGCACCACCCAGAGCAGCGCTGATCTCTCGGGGAGTGAAGAACCCGTGACTCTTGCTCCGCCCTGCCCTGCGACCTCCTTTCTCAGACTGTGCATTCTCGTCCTGTAGCTGCTGCTGCTCATCAGCATAATCCGCCGCGTTTTGGTGCAGGCCCGGGGCATAGATCACCGAGTCACGCACGTGAGACAGCCCCTTCCTTCCCTCACTCGATCCCCGTTTCAGCATCCTCCTTCCGATCCTCCTGCCGCCTCCACCACCCCCACTCGCCACCTCCCCGGTCTCCTGCCTGCTGCTACCGCTGCCAGCACCAAGAGAGGCAGTGGGGGCAAAGGTAACCCCATCACTGGCCCATGCGCCACCACCGCTGCCGCCGCCACCGCTGCCGCCGCCGCCCCTTCTCCTCTCACCGCCGCTGCCAGCAGTGCCGTCCCCAGCAGCACCGCGCTTGCTCCCTCCCACGCCCTTCTCTTCTCCTGGCTTCAGCAGGGAGCTCACAGCGTTGAGCCACCTGTTGCTGCCGCCGCCGCTCCTCTCATCTGTCTCCATTTCCATCCATGCGTCTCCTTCGAAGTTCAGCCACACCAGCCATCCGTTCCCCTCCCTCCACACACCCACCAGAGGTAACTCCTCTCCTTCCTTCTCACTCTCCTCCTTCTCCTCCTCCTTGCCCTCTTCCTTCTCCCCCTCCTTCTCTTTCTTTTCTTCCTTCTCCTTCGCCTCCTCCTCCGTCTCTCCATCCTTCTTCCCAAAACCCTCATCCTCTCCCTTTGTCCCTGAACCGTCTGCATTCACCCTTCCCTCTCTCCCTCCATCCTCCACCTCCTCTTCCCCACTCCCACCATCCGCGTGCTGACCAATCCCTCCTTCTTCCTCCTCTCCCTCCTCCTTCCCTCCCTGCTCCTCCCCTCCCTCCTCCCCTCCCTGCTCCTTGCCCCTGCACCCCTCCTTACCGCGCTCGCTGCCCTCGCCACCCTCCTGGACCGCACCCAATATCTCTGCAATCGTGGGCGACCGTTCCGAAGCGAGAGGAGAGCGTTTCGGAGTGAGCAGCTTCCGCGGAAGCACATGCCACTTGACGCTGCCACTACCGCCACCGCCACCACCGCTGCCGCCGCCGCCACCAGTGTCGTCGTCGCTACGGGGACTCGTTTTGATTCGCGTCAAAACAGGACTCGACTCGTGGCTGCAGTGCAGCGGGCGACCAGCAGCGCTGGACGCACCTTCAAGGTCGTCCTGTGTGGGCGTGTAAACGCACTGGGTGATCATGTTACCACCACTGCCAAGGCTGCCGAGGCTGCCGTACCTTTTCTCCCTGCTGCCGTGACTCACAGCAAGATTGCCGATCCGCCCTGCTATGCCGCGCCTCTCTCGCAGCCCAGTCGCTTCTTCCAGCTCTTCCTGCTCTTCCTGCTCTCCTTCCTTGTTCCCTGCATCTGCTTCCGCTTCGCTGCTACCCGCTTCGTTCCTCCCACCTCGCTTCTCCACGCTTCCTTCCCCTCTTGCTACTCCTGCCCCTCCTCCTGCTTCTCCTGCTCTTCCTGCTACTCCCGTCTCACTTGTTTCCCCTGCAGCTGCTTCTGCAGCGGATGCTGGGTTTCTCAATGCCTCCTTGCCACGCCGCGTCACCAAACCCACTGCCACACTCCCCACGACTCCCCCAGCGTTATCACTCTCCAATACTTCCCCGTTACCACCCCCCCGCCCATTCTGCTCAGAGTGCATATCTGAAATCATGAAACCGTCATTCTTTGCCTTCTCCTCCGCCCCATCGTTGCAGCTCTGCTTCCCTGCTCCCTCTGCCTCCACGCTCCTTCTCTCTTCCCCAGCCTCAACCAAGCATCTCCCGGAGAAGCACCCATCCACCGTACCGTCACCTCGTTGCTTCTCCTCCCCCTCCCCCTCCTTACCTCGCACTCCCTCACGCTGATCCCGAACCGCCTCCCCGCCACCCATCCTTCCACCCCCCTTCTTCCCCTCCTCCCCCTCCTCTCCCGCCTGTCCTCCCGCCACCCTGTCCTCCTCTCCTGCTTCCGCCCCTGCTTCCGCCCCTGCTTCCGCCCCTGCTTCCGCCCCTGCGCCCACGTCAGTGCTCTCCGCCTCCACCCCTTCCTGCAAGCCATCGGGCGGAATAGCAACTCTTAGGTCCTTGCGCCTTCCAGACCCGAACGAGCCCGACTTGGCCAGAGGCGGGGCCTTGCCACTGCTGCTGCTACTGCTCGTCAGACCCGCGCCATTGTCGCCGCTATTATCGCCGCTGTTGTCGTCGGTGCTGCAGCTACTCTCACGCGAGTCGACGTTAGAGAGGGAGCGGAACACAAGCGGCTTCTTTGGAGCCTTGCCGGGGCTGCTGCTGCCGCTTCTCGTGCTCATGCTGCTGCCTGAGCGAGCGGCAACAGTCATGGGCTTGTCAGCAGCAGCATCAGGATCGGTGGTGACAGTACCAGCTACAGCAGCAGCAGCAGCAGCAGCAGCAGCAGCAGCAGCAGCAGCAGCAGCAGCAGCAGCAGCAGCAGCAGCAGCAGCAGCAGCAGCAGCAGCAGCAGCAGCATCGGACTCAGCAGCAGCACCACCAGAACCAGCAGCAGGGGCGACAACAGCAGGGCTGGACAAAGCACCAGCGGCAGCCGCAGCCACGCCAATAAACCCGCCATCAAAGCTACCGAAGCTACCCCAGCTGCTTCCCCTCTTCCCCTTCCCCAGAACTCCATCCCCCTCTGTCAACGAACCCCCCCGGCTCCTGTTCTCCCTCCTTGACAGCACCCGGAATCCCTTCCCTCCCGCCCTCTCCTCCTCCCTGACTGCTCCTGCAGATGCCGCTTTCTCTACACCTTTAGCCGCTGCCTTTTCTGCTGCTTTCTCTGCTTTCTCGGCTGCTTTCTCTGCTGCCTTTTCAGCTGATTTCCCGCCTGCTTTCTCCACCACTTTCTCTCCACCCCCACCACCCGACCCTTCCTTACCCTGTCGCCCGCCCCTCCCCTCCCTGCTTTCCCGACCCTGCGAGCCAGGGTAAAGCGGTCCGGAAAACACGCCCTTTACAGACGGCAGGCCGAGCCTGCGGCCGGGCGTGGTGGCCTGGCGACGCTCCGACCTGGGGGGCTCGAATCCAGGCAGGCGGGAGAGGAATCTCGCGCTGAGGGGCCGCGGAATGTCTGCCTTGGGCGCGTCTGAGTGGAAGGAGAAGGTACTGTGCGAGCCGGACGAATCGGAAGAGGCTGCAGCCATGGACGAGGAGGAGGAAGAGGAGGAGGAGGAGGAGGAGGAGGAGGAGGAGGAGGAGGAGGAGGAGGAGGAGGAGGAGTGGAAGGTGGGGAGTTTGAGCATGGAGCGTGGGGTGGAAGGCTTATTCGACCCAACCGATGGCCCTCCCGCTGCTGCCGCAGTCCCACCAGTTGAGCCAATCTCATTTCCAGTACCGGCACCAACATCAGCAGCAGCAGCAGCGGCGGCGGCGGAAGTGGCAGCAGCGGATGCAGAAGAAGAAGCAGGAGAGGCAATAAACGCGAGAGGACCCGACACGGCCCCTCGGCTCTTCAACGAGAAGCTACCACGAGGGGTTAACGAGCCTCTAGGCGTGGTTTGGGCCGAGCCAGAGCTGTGGGAGGCTTGGATGGCGGGGAGAGGCGCCGAGACCTGCATCGCTCCTCCGGAATCCTCCTGAAACCCTAAAAGCACGGCTATCTTTTGCCGCATCTTCTTACCACTGAGTTTGCCCCCGCCGCCTGAGCTGCTACTGGGTAGGAAACCCCCCTCGGAGCCTCCATATCCGGAAACCTCCGCTGCTGCGTTGCTATTGCTGCTGCTGCTGCTGCTGCCGCTGCTGCTGCTGCTGGTGGCGAGCGCGGGGCCTGAGTGCTGGTTGACGATGGCGAAGGTACCGACGAGCGAGCGCGGGTCGTGCGCGAATTGGCACGGCTGGAGCATGAGGTCCACCTGCCGCCCCGCCAGGTGCCCGCCCGCCCCCGAGTCGCGCACGTTGAAGCGCAGCACGGCTGCGGACGCCACCGCGTCGCTCACGGCGCGCTGCCACTGCTCCGCGCTCACGTCGCCCGTCAAATCGAACAAACTCTTCCGCCCGCCTGCGCTCGCGCCCGCGCCCGCGCCTTGCGCCTGCCCCTGCGCACCTCCCCGTCCTCCGCCTGCCCGAGCGCCGTCAGCGCCCCGCGACTGGCGGCGAGCACCTCCGCGGTCTGTCGGTCCAGGAGAAGCATCATCGCGCGCGACTGGCGCACGAACTGCAGCGCCAGCGGGGACACTGGTGCGGCGGAAGCGGGGGAGACGGACGCCGCAGAGGCGGAGGCGGAGGCGGAGGAAGAGGCGGAGCCGGGAGAAGATAATGTATGGACTGGGGGTTTGGGGGAATGAAGAGGCGCGAATCCAGAGGTATGGGGGGATAGGGTTGTAGCAGATGCGGGAGAAATGGGGGGTTTAAGAGGGGGGAATTCCTGCGGAGGTGTCCGCGGACGGGGGGAGGTGAGCGGCGGAGTAGCAGAGGCGGAAGCGGAACGAGCGGCTGCCGCAGATCCCGCGACGCCATTCGCGTCGCAGGCGGCGACCATATCCGAAGCGGAAGCACCAACCGCGGCGCCGGCGCCGGCGACGGAACAACTATTCTTAGCGCTCCCTTCTCGACGCGCTACTGCGTTACCCGCCACATCGTCGCGCAGAGATGAGCCTTGCCCAGATACGACCTGCGCGTATGAGCCTCGCCCGGAAGAATTATCATTTGCTCCCGCCATCGATCCTGGCCTGCCCGTTTCACTGGCGCATGGTACCGTCGTGGTGGTGGTGACGGTGGTGGTAGTCGTCGTGGCGGCGGTCGTTGCGCCGCTATTCACGGCCCCGCGAGTGCCGCCGCCGCTAGTTCTGCCGCTGCAGGCGAGGCTGGGCGCGACGGACGCTGGGATGGGAGTCGTCGCGCTGGAAGGCGCGCTCGAACACGCGGAGGCGGATTGCGAGTGCGGAGAGGAGGAATGGGGTGGGGAAGAGGAGGAGGCGGCGGAGGAAGAGGGAATGCGAGTGGACGTAAGCGGCGCTGTGATTGGAGCGGGTGTTGTCGAATCGGCGCGCCGCGCCGGTAACGAGGAAGCTGTAGACGAGGATGAGGAGAGGGAGGGTGGCGACGAATTGGATGGCGGAGAAGGCGCACTGACCCCGCTACTAGTACTCTCACAACCTAATTTTCTGGGGCTAATGCTGCTGCCGCCTTTCCGCGGAGACCCAAGGTCGACGGGCCTCCGCGGAATGTGCAATGCTTTGAGCAATAAGTTGCTGCCACCTGGCGTTTTCGGAGTGGGTGGCTGACTGGAGCTTCTGCGGAAGAACGCTTCGGTTCGCTTGCGTGGGGATAAGAGCGCCGCGACGGAGCTAGGGCTACGGACAGCAGTGCTGGTGGTACTAGGTGTCGAAGTATTAGCACTCGTTGAACTCGTTGTACTCGTTACAGTCGTTGCAGTCGTAGCGGTATTAGAGATTGTAGGAGAACTCGGAGCAGCTGCGCTGACCCTTAACGCTGACGCGTGGTCAGAGGTAGCAGCACCGTCACCACCGCCGTTACTACCGCCTGTTACAACGTTCGAGGTACTGGTGGTTGATAAGCGAGGGATCGTTTCGAATATTAGGAACGGAGAACGGGATTCGGCTTTACCGGTAGGGCTGCTTGTGCTGCTGCATTTGGGAGTAAAAGCGGTAGAAAACGTCCGACGGCGGCGAGGGCTGCGGTGAGCCTTTTTCTGATGCGAGATTCCGCAAACAACGTGACTTTCGTTTGGTGATGACTCGATGGAATGCGTAGGTCGAACATTACGCGTGTTGCTCTTTGATGAATCTGTTGAAGGAACCGAGTCCATGTCAATGGAGCAGGATTCGCTGTTGCCTTGGTCCCAGGTGGAACAGAAGGGCTCGCTGTTACTGCACCAACTCCATGGTCTATTATAAGTCAGGGGGCAGGGAAGACGGAGATGGGCTGGTGGTTGGGCGGGAGTGCCCCTTTCTCCCACGATCGCTGGGGTGTGGTGGGGTGGAGTCCCTGGACTCGATTCGCGAGTCTCCGCTCGCGATCCTTCGTCCATCACTGCATCGCGTGTAGTATTCGGCTTTTTCGCGTGTAGTGTTCTCCCCCCGCCAAGGACACCTTTCTCAGCTCCAGCTCCCAGCCAGAAAGCCACACTGGTCCCACAGAGCTGGTCTGGTATGGAGACAGGATTTTCGTTTATTGTGCCTCGTTTTGGGCAGGAACGTGCTCAAGGCGATTCAGCTCAGCACTTCTGAGTTTCGTTGAGTTTGAATCATCAGAAGTGAAGGCGACCCATTAAGTGCTGGTATGAACAACGTTAAGTATTTCGGAGTCTCCTCCGCTTCCCTCACCCTTCGTCGGGGACCTTCATCTCAGTCATCGGCTTTCCTACTCCCGCCTTCAACGTTTATCACGGGTGTAGAAATGTGATTAGCCGAAAAGGCAAAAACAGTTTTACGGTCTTGCGGCAAACGAAGGGTAATTTTTCCGGCCAGGCGTAGTCGGTGAAATACGACGCAAACAACCCCGCCTTGAGTCAAATAGCATTTCTGGGGGATTCGAGATTTGAGGTGAAGGTTTTCAGGAAATCCCCCAATATGCATCCCAGTCCCAGTGTCGGAACAGAAAGCACGTTCACTTTTGGTGATGAAGTGCTGCGCTCAATCGGTGGATAGCGTCAGACGAGACGAGAGACCTCGATTAAGGACGTGGGCCCAATCGGGTCTGATCGGCTCTGATCTGATCGGATCGGATTGCTTGTGATCACTTTCCTCGAGCCGCCCGATCGGCAATGTTTTTCGTCGAAGTTTTATAGCTGTTGCTCGGCAAACGCAGGAACATTACGTGGAAATTCTCATCCATCTCACGCGAGATTGGCGACTGAATGTCACCTGGCGAACGCATTTGTTTCCCTGTAATATCGTCAACCCCTGGAGAGTTCTCGCGATGTGACATGCATGAGCGAGGAGTTCACGAGACTAAGTTCAACAGTGTAACATTTCGCAACCGTCGTTATGGTCCTCGATCACATGCAATCAACTGATCGAGGGTGATTGAGCAAAATCGAGTTTGATCGGGGTGAAAATCGGGTGTGATTGAGTTGGGGCGATCAGCTGATCGTGATCAGCTGATTGCCCCCGATTTCATGAAATTGGCTTCCAGGCTTCCTCGAAGTTGTTGATCGCTTCTGATCGAGGCGATCAAACTCGATTGGGCCCACGTCCTAAGTGTGTATGTTTCGTTCACACAGTTAACAATCACAACCTCACTGGTTGCATATATTAAACCACTCAACGAGTCCCGAGTTCCTCGCCTAAAAGGGAGTATCCTAACATTAGTGTACATTGACAATCATTTCTGCAGTCCAATGCTGCCCAGAAATAAACAGGGTGGCAACAAAACTATTATCATGCTCACAGGCTGTACAGTACTTTGACATGAGCGGAGTCGAAAGCGTGGAAATCGTTTCTAGCAGAGTGGGCCCTGAATCTCACCCAGATTTGCAGGGTTGGAATAAAAAACACCCTGAGTAGGTTGCCCTGGTCATGAGTTTGACCCATAATCCTGGCAAGTAGGACGTGCCCAAACTTCTTGCTCTCTTCATGTGCTGTCCTGTACTTGATGGTCAAAGTGGGGCTCTACGAGCGACAGTCCAACCGTGTAACGCACTGTCACGACTCTCGCCACAGGTTTGTGATCTTGCAAATGAGTTCGCAGTGCTTTCTATACGAACTACCGAGTCAACAGACCACGCAATACGGATACATATGGTAGCTCGGTTACCATATACACTGTCCATTTTGCCCCAAAATTGAAGATGCTGCCGAAAAATACTTGGAGAGTTTCCAGACCAGATCATCATTTGCAGGAACTCAATCAAGCCTGTCAACCCAACCAAACTCGTCGCCGCTACAGTACCTGATGGATGGAGGGTGGTGGTGGTGGGCGTGGGCCGCAGCATTGGTCCAGATTGGATGTCACCTGTTGGCGTACTGTAAAATGAGGCCTCTGTTCAGCTTCCGATTCTGCACGGATTCGATATTAACTTAGTCTATGAAACACAACGCCGCACAAAACTGAGGAGTTCAAGCAGAATAAAGCTGAAAACAAAAGAAAATTAAACCATTTTACCCGCTCTGCTAGAAAACAAGCTGACTGGGGGTAGTGTTTGTTGTGATCTCAGGGAAGTAAAACAAAATGAAAATCAGACGCACCATGGAAATGGTGTGCTTGCAGGGCGGAGCAGCTCCGTCACCATGAAGAGCTGCCATACCACTTTACCGATTTGCACCCATAAAGAGCAGAAACGCGCTTCTCCTTTGCTTGAATGCCATCATTTGTCAAGGCCCTCACTATCTAAAGTCCTCCAAGCTGTCAGGTTTGTGCTTGAATTATCTTACTCGATGGCACCTTCCAGGCGGCCTGCTCACTCTTGCAGGTGCCCCGCTCTCCTTGTGCAAGTGCCTTCAACCCTCTCACAATATACGTGGTTGCAAGGCATATGTCAAGCAGAGCACGAAGCTGTGCGACAGTATGTGCCAAGGACATGACGAACCATCCATAGTGCATCCCAACTCACTCCTATCGCCGTCCTTCACCAGCTATCTTGAGCAGTACGAAGACGATTGTTTGAAGGCAATTGCCAGGTAGTAAGCTGCCTGACATGCGCGAATGCAGCAAGTTGGGTTGCGAGCGGGTTCTGCTGGTCGGATTGTGCGTGTTGAAGCGCTTTTGAAGAAGCATGGTCAACTTCCTGCCGCTTGTCCATCGCATTGTAAGCAGCTACAACCTGATGAAAGGTATTAGTGCTCTACGATTATATCGTCATCGCTGAATTTATTCATTGCAAGTGCATTTCATAGAGCTAGAAGCTGCTGACGTCGAATAGATAATTCGCCAATGCTACTCAGTTATTGTTTTGTAGAAAAGTAAATTGTACCTTTTTCGACCCCTCGCTACACTGAACGAGCGCAGCGACCAAGTTTACGTAGGAGAGCGAACTGCTGTGCAGAGAAACTTTAGTCACCGTTGAAACGAGAATTGCACGACAATGACGCTGATTGTGGTGCTTTGAAATGCTGGGATGTTCAAATGAGCTTATTCAGGGAAAGGTTTAGCATGCTGTGGCCCATACATGCGATGCGATGACAATAGATAAAGCTGGAGCCTTCAAAACCAACCAGCCAAACCTAGAAAGGATCAGGTTAGGATGCAGGACTGAGCTGGTCAGCCTCCTGCTCGTTGCCACGTGGATGTGAGGTGTGTGGTGTTTTGTGGTGTTGGACAACCCAGCCACTGGAAAGTTGCGAAAAGCTTTCGATACCGTGGCGCAAACATTCGCGTGTAGGAGCTTTGCGAAATTCCAGTGCTTTCGCGAAGGAATTCAAGGCGTCCAGAACAACTTTCGGTTCATGCATCCAAGAATGTCTCGATCTGAGCACGACCCACGAGGAGCGACCCCAAATTTGCCTATGGCATGCGGACACGTTCGTGTATGGGAGTTCAAAAGGCAGGCCGAAGCACCTACTTTCGGTGACGAGGACAAACGGACCGATGTGAACTTGGAGGGTAGCCACCCGCAGTTCTTGAAGAGCCATGCACGTGGCACCTGTAGCGTCAGATTTTCTCAAAGATGACGCAGCAATCAACCTTCCTCAGAAATCCGGCACGCCCCACCCCTTTCACTCCCTTCCAACAAAGTAACGCGCTCCGGTCCAGACTCCA